CCTGACTGTCCTGCTCCCAGGGGCCGCGGTCGTCCTCGCCATCGGTCTCGAGGGGGGGGGGTAATGTCACGGAAACACCTGCCTCACCAGCCGAATCAGCCTCCTACACCAGCTCACAATCACCTGATTACTGATCACGGACACCTGCGCACCCACTTACCACACCAGTTAAATACTCACTCACCTCAGTCACTCGTCGGCTGGTCTCAAGGTTACAAGCTTCTCTCTATGGGTTCCTTGCCTCCCGATCTGCCTGTCAAGCCTCAGATTCCTCAGTTCTCGGTCGGAGGACCAAAGTGCCAACCCCAGATAAGACTGTGTTCTCTGCTTCCATTTATTCCTAAGTTGATTCTTTTCGGTGGGAAGCTACTCCTAAGTTCCGTTGAATAAACTCCCTGACTTACGTTAACCTGTCTGTTTGCCTCTTTGTCCCGGATGTGACCGATACAGATACCAACAATAAATAATTGACATCCCGTGGTAACTAGGAATTACACAAGCTTCAGTTTGGATCCAGCTCTTAAAAAAAGACCTGAGATGACCGAACACCTGAGAAGAGATGATGCCAACCCCTCAGAGGACCTCTGAAACAACATAAACTACCAAATTTTGCTACAAGTTTGATTGCAACATATAATCATTGCTATTAATAGTGTTCATCGTCTGTTTGATTCATAGACTGTATAAAAACATGGACGTATGGATTTACATGGATTTATCTCAACTGCTCTGTGTACCCATAAGTACACATGAACTAGACGAAATGACTAGCAACATGGGCACTATCTTCTCTAATACATTAGAAGCTGTTACCCCCATCAATTTGAAAAAGGTTAGAGAAAAACGTACTGCGCCATGGTACAACAGTAATACCCATTCTCTCAAGAAAAAACTCGTAGTCTTGAGCGCAAATGGAGAAAAATTATAATAATTTTCTCCTATTAAATTCGAATAAGACAGAGATATTACTTATTGGACCAAAAGACAGTACACAGAATCTCTTGGATTACAATTTGCAACTGGACGGGTGTACTGTTACTGTTAAATCTGGGTGTTATATTAGATAGCAACTTGTCTTTTGAAAATCATATTTCCCATGTTACAAAAACAGCATTCTTCCATCTTAGAAACATTGCCAAGTTACGAAACATGTTACCTGTTTCTGATGCATAAAAGCTAGTTCATGCATTCATGACCTCTAGACTGGAGGTCATGAATGGACTATTGTAATGCACTGCTAGGTGGACTATTGTAATGCACTGCTAGGTGGTTGTCCTGCATCTTCAATAAACAAGCTACAGGTAGTCCAAAATGCAGCAGCAAGAGTTCTTACCAGGTCAAGAAAATATGATCATATTACCCCAATTTTACAGTCTCTGCACTGGCTACCTATTAAGTTCCATATCAGTTACAAAATATTATTACTTGCCTATAAGGCCCTTAATGGGTTAGCTCCTGCGTACCTAACTAGTCTTCTACCACGCTACAATCCATCACGCTCCCTAAGGTCGCAAAACTCTGGACTTTTGGTAGTACCTAGGGTAGCAAAGTCCACTAAAGGAGGTAGAGCTTTTTCGCATTTGGCTCCCAAACTCTGGAATAGCCTTCCTGATAACGTTCGGGGTTCAGACACACTCTCTCTGTCTAAATCTAGATTAAGACATATAATAATAAATAATGCATCTCATAATCTTGTACTGCAGTTATATCTGATCAAATGCACATTATTATTCTTTAGTTTGCGTTAAACAAATCAATTTTGCTTGGTTAGAACAGCAGCTACGCTATTTATCTCTATTTGTTTCTCTGTTTTTGCCACACAAGCTTCAGTCTGGATCCAGAACACCTGAGAAGAGATGATGCCAACCCCTCAGAGGACCTCAGATGACACCAACCCTGAAACAACATACAGAACTACCACATTTTGCTATAAATTTGATTGCATCATATAATAATTGCTATTAATAGTGTTCATCGTTTGTTTGATTACATCTTTAATTGATTTTTCCATACATTTCTGCCATATGTACATTAACTGACAGTCACCACTGATAAGCTAACACTAAATATTGTAGAAACTTAATTTGCTGTAAAGTTGCTTTGCAATGATTTATATCGTGAAAAGCGCTGTACAAATAAACTTGAACTTGAACTTGAACGTAGTGTCCGTGACGTCACCCGTAGGGTTCCGAAGATAGTTTTTGAAGCTCAGAAGTGGGCGGAGGCGGCCGTCGCCATCTTGGCAGTGCGTCAGCGCGCGTTACTCCCGGATAATCGAAGATGGGCAAAGAGGCGGGAGCTGGTTGTTGAAACCACGCCCACCTAGCTCGATGGTGGTGACAGCAGCGGCAATCCACCTGTCACTCAAGTGGCCACGCCCTTAATTAAGCAGAACTTTAAGGCTTAGTATAATTTAAACAGATGAGTTCTAAAAAAAATCACCCCCCTCACAGTTGTCATGAAGGGCAAAATTAGCTATATAGACCAAAATCTTTTTTTGAACCAGGCTGTAAACATGTTTTTTTCTGCTGTAAAGTTAGGCATTTTAACATAGGGAGTCTATGGGATTGACTCCCTTTTGCAGCCAGCCTCTAGCGGCCAGTTGACGAATTACAGTTTAAGTCACTTCCTTGTTGGCTTCACGAGAGAGAGCGGGAGGTTGCCGCTCGGTTTGATTACGTCATTAACTGAATTTTACCGTACATTTCTGCCATATGTGCATCAATTTGACATAGTCACCACTGACAAGCTACTACTTAATATATTGTAGAAACATAATTTTCTGTAAAGCTGTTTTGCAACGATTTGTATCGTGAAAAGCGCTATACAAATAAACTTGAATTGAATTGATGAAAACAGTCTTGTAGTATAGCGTCCGATTGGTCCAACCAATATTGAATTGTCCTGAGGGCAGGCGCTTTGCCCTACAGTTTCTGCTTATTAGCAGACAAGAGCAGAACGGATTATTTTCAATACCTGAAATTTTATTTATTTTTTTAATTACATTTTGAAATAGAATAGATCTGTTCCTCTAACCAACCTGCATGAGGCCAAAGGCATTGCCATGATCACCCCATCCACCCTCCAGAGCGGCTCCGGCTCTGGACTCTCTAGATATGATTGCAGCAATCACAGCCGGGTCCATCTGCTTTGCTTTGCCAACTTTGGTGATCATACTTTTGTAGTTCTCCATCCGGGCCAGATCAGTCTCAGCCAGTTTTTTGGAGGCTTCAACACCTTTTGAAAATTAAATCATTGTTATAATTAAATTACATACTGCTATATATTGATATAATTTGAATGCAGTCATGCATTCTCACCATTTACGTTTAATCTGTCTTGATTAGCTGTTGCCTGTGATGCACCGGTGGTGTCTATTTTCATGATGTTTCCATAAATGCATGCTAGAAAAAACATGGAAAATATTAAGTTAGTAAATTATTTCCTCATTATTCAGACAATATCATATAAAAACAGTCAGCACCTGATGTATTATGTTATATAACTTATTATATAACTTACCCATGATGTTGATTTAGAACTGCCGTGAAAGAGCAATTCTGAACTTGACGAGCCTTGTCACTAAATCAGGACGTGATTATACAGTGATTGCAGAAGCAGTTGTTTCTCTTTTTTCCAGATGTTCTTCCAACTATAGTGTGGAGAAATAAATAACCACTTTTGATGAATGTTAATAAAAGGGAAATCTTAGCACTTGTACCAGTGTAAATGCATGCTGAATTTAAACTTTTCTTGGACTTTTAGTTATGGGCCCCAATAGCCAAAATTTGATCAAAATTGACAGTATTTGAATCTCTGAAAAGAAGTAGACTACTGTATGTTTCCCCTCTATATATTTGATTTGAAACATGCATTTTTTAATCATTTACTGTATATGAGGCAAGTACATTACAAACATTTTGAAATATATGTTTATACTGTCTGCAATTGTATTAATACTGAAATTATAAATGCAATATTTTCAAAGAAATAAATATATAATTTTATGAATTATTTAATTCTAGTCTATATGCATAGGCGGAGGGTGAACCAACTAAAAAGGCTAAAAGTAGCCTAATGTTAGTGTAATCTGTTAACTATAATCTGTTATAATCAGCGAAGCTGTCTACACTGTGAAATTAATCTTACTTGCATCGTTCGTACATCTGCACTTTCTTTGATGAGATAATTCACAAGAGCCAAAAAGAGTATAAGTTCTCTGCAAGAGCTCAGGATTCAGTCAGCGATGACTCATCTAACGCCTCTGATTGGCTACTGCATTTATAAACTCAACGGAATCACATGTGACTGGTTATAATGCGCAACACAGCCGTAATAGGTTTAGTTTAATCGCCAGTTTTCATTTATTTTCACTTTCACTTTATTCGACACAGCCGTAATACAATTAGTCCACACTTTTCATTTAACTTTCACTTTCACTTCATTCGAGACAGCCGTAGCCTAATAGATTTAGTTTAATCTACACTTTTCATTAGACTTTAACTTTATTCGTGACATCCGTAATAGATTGATTTAGTTTAATTATTCAGGGACAGGCGGAGAGTGGAAAACAAAGGCCCTATAAGGGCTAAAAGTAGCCATAGGCCTATAAATACAACGCATGTCACAAACCCGTTATTTTAGGCAAGTATCAGAAATGGGTGTGTCATAAAACAATTTTAATACGACTGAATTTTAACATGACCACAATTTAATGAAACATTGTAATTTACTAGCTAATTATAACGCTTTCCTTTCCACGGTTATTCAAACAGCGAATACATTATAGTAGAGGCCCACTTTTTGTAAAATGAGTACGTGTAACCTAGATGTTTTTTTTTCTGTCCTTTTCTTTTGTAAACTTTAATGTCCAGCTATAATATTTCAATTTGAATACAGTTCATATATACGGTTATAGTCACATCTTTAATATATTATACAATATATTAAAGATGTGACTATAACACAAGCAACAACAAATAGGCAAAAAAAATTATAAAAAGAACATTTAAAAATGGTAACCATATGTAAAAATGCTTTACTGTCTATGCTCTTTAAATGGAGATTGCTGACATTACCCCAAGCATACAAGTTCACACCAGCTCTTACATTAAAAATAAGAAGGAAAGATAAAAAAAAAAAAACGAATAGTTTCTATGAATCTTTACATCTGTTTGATGTTTAAATCAGGTCTCCTCTGTTGGAATAGAATTGGCTAGATGGCTTTGTCACAAAAAAATAGGGTCCTAGATTTGCGGTTCTGAAACTGGAGCCTCTGGGATTGCAGGAATATAATATTGCTTGCTGCTGCATTCACGGCCTGTAGAGAGCCTCGTGGATATGGCAAGCTACGTCACATTTAATCACACAGGATAAGAAGTATTGTAAGGATATCAAAACTTCAGTCTTCACTTTTAAAAGTAAAGATTTTTGTAATCAGCAATGGCCTTCTTAAAACAAAATCTAATTTTTGATACCAGTAATTGCATTTAAAAACGGCAATTACAGATATAACCAAGGGAACAAGACATTGCATTAGAGGAAGCATCTAAAAGTTTCACCATTGACACCGTATCTTACTTTGTACATTTGGAATCAAAGCTTGCATCTCTACAGCTGTAACCGTGTTGTAAGCAGTGCTGCTGAAAACACTAGAGCTGTTCTGCTCTTGGGTGTGTCTGTAGAAACAAGTCTATTTTACAGGCAAACAAATAAAACCAAAATATGAATGCAATGCACATAGTTTCACATTAAGCATTTTCCCATAGAATACTATTATAAACAACACATTGCGTTCATATTCTGACCTACTAGGTGTACACGGAATTTGATCTTTTAATTTCACTGTCTCACTATGTTATTATGTGTTTTCTCATGTTAAGTGTTTTAGAATGTCTCGCTGTTTTTAGTGATTGGAATACAGTGGTGGGTGCTTTATATGGATCGCCAGTGCCCAAAACTTGAATTTTATTCACACATATTCATTTGAGAGGTTATCTAAATGTTTATGACATGAATTAGATGGAAAATTGGCAGGCCATCAGTTCTCTGCAGGCTTCCGTGCAAGTCATGTGACTGAAAACCAGGAACAATGTAGAATATGTGGTCATTTCAATGTGAATATGGCAAGACTGCTGATAAGAGTGGGAAAAAAAGTTTCTTTCATCATATCATATGCAGTGACATGTAATTTAGCTCTTAGTTATTGGATTACTTACTGAATCCAGAAAACAAAGATATTAAAAGGGATTGTATTACTCAGAAGCTATGTTTAAGTGACACAAATACAGTAACTTCAATAATGAGGAGTAATTCAGTCAAGTTGATACATTGTATATATTTCACAAGAGTTTAACAGCTCAGCAACAGCTGTTCTTCAGTAACCCTTGCTTCTGAACCACTGGGCTCTGGCAACAACATCATTGGAGTAGTCTAGTCCAGTGGTGGGTTTGGCATCGATATTCTCATATGAAGTGACTCTACTCACACCTTTGTTATAGGCTGCTATTCCCCCTGAAACAGACACGAAAACCTAAATCAGACTGATACCATTCTATTTACATTGAACTTTTTAAAGACAATTTAAGATTGATTAATTCATTCATTCATTCTAAATTCATCTTTCAAATCAGCATTCTTGCACTTCTCGCTGATGAATCTAATGTGCGTAGTTTCTGAAACAAGACACATTTGTGGTTTCTAAGAGTGGAAGTGTACTACCTTTAAAGCATTGCTCTTGTGTCCACTTGGGAAAATTGACTTTAATTTCTTTAATGAAGCCAATGAGTATCTCTGTAGCTTGTGTGACATGCTGCTCACTGTCCCATGCACCAACCGGAGTGTGGGAGCCTTTGTCAACCTGGAAAAAAAAGGAGCTTTGAAACAGCAGAAATATTTAGTAACACTTTGCATGGATGATTATTGTGACAACTTAAACACCTTAAACCTTATTTCATGTGCACACTCATGCATGTATAAGCCTCATCTTAGGTCTAATTACATTTTAAATAGAGTAGATTTATAGTTGTAATGAACCTGCATAAGGCCAAAGCCATTGCCTTTGGGTTCCCATCCATTCTTCAGGGCGGCTCCAGCTCTGGACTCTCTAGATATAATGGCAGCAATCACAGCCGGATCCATCTTCTTTGCTTTGCCAACTTTAGTGATCATACTCTTGTATTTCTCCACCCGGGCCAGATCGTGCTCAGCCAGTTTTTTAGAGGCTTCAACCCCTATGACATATTTAAATCATTTTTAAACATGTTGTAACATGACGCTCATTGCATATATTGGCAAATGAAACAAAAGTGCCATAAGTGATTTGTATGCAGTCATGCATTCTCACCCTTTATGGTTAATTTGTCCTGTTTTGCTGTCGCCTCTGATGCACCGGTGGTGTCTATTTTCATGACGTCTCCATAAATGTATGCTAAAATGAACATGGAAAATATCAAGCCCTTTCAAGTCAATAAATAATTATTTATACAGAATATTCAAGCAGTTTTACACTATCACAAATTGCTCCTCATTATTGAGACAATATTGTATAATAACAGTCAGCACCTGATATTGTATGACTTACCCATGATGTTGATGTAGAACTGCTGTGAAAGAGCAAATCACTGAGTCTGATGAACCTTTTCACTAAATCAGACCTCAGCAGGGCCGGATTATATATGATCGCAGAGGGAGTGGTTTTTCTTTTTATCTCAGATGTTCTTCCTCTATTGTGTGGAGAAATGCAAGGTTACAACATTTTGAATTTCCTTGTTTGTTTATGTCTTATTATTAGAGCAAACCCTAGCCATTAATGATGAATGAACAGGTTTATAAGGTGCTTCATACACTTTATAAACGTTTATCATCACTTTTGATGAATCATCTAGATTCTAGGGAAAGCCCTAACATTGCATGTGCAGGCAAGAGAAGGAAGTGAAGATAAATAAAATAAAAGCTTGTGGAAAAACTTAGCACTTGTACCAGGTTAAAGCATGCCAAATTTGAACTTTGATAAAATCATTGTAGGTTTAATTATGGCCACCAGAATTGAATAGATTTGGCAATTATCCTCAAAAAAGCACTTTCAATGTAAGGGCCTAAAACAAAAAATAAACATAAACAGACACATTTACAGTATAAAATATAAAAGAATAATCAATATATAATTTTACTGAATTCAATGACTTAATTCTGGTCTTTGTGGTTTGTGAGTTATAAGCAAATAGGCATAAATTTACACATTATAGTGCCTGCTTGTAACAAGAAGTTGTCCTTGCTCTTGGCTGAGTATTAGGTAAGATATGAGACCATCCAAATCTGATTTGTTGTGCTTTAAACATTTGTAATACATACGTATGGAAAGATTAATCAACAGATTCAGTGCTGCTTGAAAGTTTGTGAACCCCTCAAAATGTTCGATATTTCTGTATAAATATGATCCAAAACATAATCAGAAGTCCTGAAAGTAAACAAAGAGAACCCAATCAAACAAATGAGACAAAATATACACTTTGTCATTTATTAAAAGAAAATCTATTGCTAAATATCTGTGAGTGACAAAAATATGTGAAACTTTGCTTTTAAGTATCTGGTGTGACCCCATTTTGCAACAATAACTGCATGTAAAGTTTCTTGTAACTGCTGATCAGTCCTGCACAACAGCTTGTAGCAATTGTAGCCCAGTCCTCAGTACAGTACCACTTCAACTCTGTGATGCTGGTGGGTTTCCTCCTATGAACTGCTTGCTTCAGCTCCTTCCTCAACATTTCAATTGGATTAAGGTCTGGACTTTGACTAGGCCATTCCAAAACATCAGATTTGTTCTTCTTTAACCATTCTTTAGTAGGACGACCCGTGCTTGGGTCAATGTCTTGCTACATGATCCACTTTCTCTTAAGACTCATTTCTCAAACAGATGTCCTGACATTTTCCTTTAGAATTTGATGGTATAATTCAGAATTCATTGTTCCATCAATGATGGCAAGCCGTCCTGGACCAGATGCAGCAAAACAGGCCCAAACCATTATACTCTCACCACCATGGTTTAAAGATGGGATAGGATTCTTATGCTGGAATGCAGTGTTTTCCTTTCTCCAAATATAACACTTCTCATTTAAAACAAAAAGTTATATTTTGGTCTCATCCTTCCATTAAAACTTTCTCCAATAGCCTCTGGCGTGTCCACATGATATTTAGCAAACTGCAGATGGGCAGCAATGCTCTTTCTGTTCTTTCTCCTTGCAACTCATGCCATGCACACCATGGTTGTGTTCTCCAGTGTTCTCCTCATGATGGACTTATAAACATTAACAATGGCCAATGTGAGAAAGGCCTTTAGCTGTTTAGAAGTCACCCTGGTTTCCTTTGAAACCTTGTGGACTATTGCACATCTTGCTTTTAGAGTGATCTTTGTTGGTCAATCACTCCTGGGAAGGCTTTCAGTGGTCTTGAATTTACTGAACTTACACAGTCTGTCTGACTGTGGATTTGTGGAGTCCAAACTCTTTAGAGATGTCTTTGTCGTCGGCACTGATAGCCTTGTGGGCAACGCATCAACACATTGCGTTTGGTGTCCTGTGTTCAAGTCCCGGCTCGCGGACCTTTCCCGATCCCGTCCCCATCTCTCTCACTCCAACTATGTTTCCTGTATAACCACTGTTCTATCAAATAAAGGCAAAATGCCAAAAAGAGAGATGGCTTTGTAACATTTTCTAGTCTGATGAGGAACAGCAACTCTGCCATGATTCACTTCCACAAACATGATAGATCCCTGTTCTTTAAATAAAACTGAGCATGACCTGACACCTGATAGTCACCTCAGTGAAAACACCTCTGGACAGATGGACTCTAATTTCACCTTCAAATTAACAGCTAATCTGTAACGTTAAAAGATGTCAAGCATGACAACGTAATTATGGATCCAAATGCAGGCTTTATTGGTAAACGTGGTCAGACAGGCAGGGTCCAGTACCAGCAAACAGTAATATCCAGGCAAAGACAAAATAGTAATCCATAAACAGGCAAGTGTCAGGACATGCAGCAAAACAATTGTGAAAACCAGGTAAACAGCCCAAGTTAAAAAAAAACACACAAAGGCAAGGCAAGAAAACACGGGCAGGAAACACAGAAACCAGAAAACGTTACAGGCTAACTCCTCCCTCAATAGCCATACAATACCCAGCAATGTGTGTGTGTGTGTGTGTGCATCTTAAATAGTCCTCCTGATATGAAACAGGTGTCAACTGATAATGAGTTCCTGGGCAGAGGGAACCTGGGAAATGGAGTCCGGGGTAAGTGGTAACGGTAAGGGATGGTGTGCCCTCTAGCAGAGCTAATGGGCACTCCAGCTGGCGATCGTAACAGAGCCCCCCCCCCCCCACCTAAGAAGCAGCTTCAGGACGCTCCTCAACAGGAAGAGACTTGAGTTCAGTAGGGAGTTGGAGCAGAGGCGGAACAGGGGGAGGGATGGAGGGTCAGGTCCATGTGGAAGTTGTCACCTCTGGAGATTATGCAACAAATGTTGCCACCTCTGGAGAAGCAGTAGGAGCTTTAATAGACACAGAAAGTTCAGAAACAGCATTTGCGGCCATAACAGAGCATCAGGAAACAGGGAGCGTTCAAAGATAGTGTCCGTGGTCAGAACAGAACTGACAGGGAACACAGAGAGCTCAGGGAAGAGTGCCGCTGCTTTTTCGGGAGGAGCTGAAGTGGACGTCACTGCCATGGGAGGTTCTGTAATGAAAGTTGCCAACTCTGGGAGAGCTGGAGCGCACTCGGGGACTGAAGCAGGCTTGGGAGTGGACTCAGGGACTGGAGCGGGCTCTGGAGCAGACTCAGGGATTGGAGCAGCTCTGGAGTGGACTCAGGGACTGGAACGAGCTCTGGAGTGGACTCAGGGATTGGAGCGGGTTCTGGTTAGGGCTCAGGGACTGCAGCAGACTCGAGATTAGACTAATGGACTAGAGCAGGTTCTGGAGCAAAGTCAAGGACTAGAGCAGGCCCTGGTGCAAATTCAAGGACTAGAGCAGGCTCTGGTGCAAATTCAAGGACTAGAGTGGACTCTGGAGCAGATTCAAGGACTGGAGCAGGCTCGGGAATGGATTCGGGGATCGGAGCAGATGCCACCACCTCAGGAGGTTCTGCAGCAGAACCTGCCACCTCTGGGGGAACTGTGGTGGTGTGTGCGGCCCAAACACATTGAATGGCCATAGCCATCACAAGCAAAACAGAGAACACACTGTCTACCTCCGAGACAGATGGCACATCGAGGTTTGGGGCCTGTGAGTGCTGAGACCAGTGAGCTCAAGAGCTTAGCGGCCGGCAGGCTTGAGTGCGTTGTGGCCGTGGTGCTTGAGAGTGCTGAGGTCACCGGAATGCCAGCAACTCGCACCGACACCAGCCGTGGGTCCTCCATGCTGGGTGCCAGTCTCGAACGACTGACTTCGGGGTTCTAGGCATGGTCGACATGACGGGATGAGGCTCTAGAATTGCAGCCAAGACAGGACGAGACTCTGGAACGGCAGCCATGACAGGATGATACTCTGGAATGGTAGCCATTTTGTGGAAAGTCTCTGGGCTGGCAGCCATCTTGAGAAGAGATTCAGGTGAGGGGGCCACAGGACAGGACAGTGCAGAAAACACAGGAGTTGCTATCCTAATAGCTGGACATGGTGGTAGCCCTGATGAGCCAAGCTCCATGGCCACTGGAGCTTGCCGATGTTGGACCCTCCAAAAACTATTTGGGGTTTTACAGTCCTCTGCTTCTCCCATAGTGCACATAACAGCAGGGCATAATCTGAAAACTGACATAGCTAGCCTCGAGGACTATGGCAAATTATTTCAGTTCTTAATGGTTCATTTAGTCAATGACAAAATAAACCTATGAGTGCAAATCCAGGAAGTCAGAGTGATAAGCAACATTTAGAAAGTTCTGGATGTGATCCTCAAGGGGCCGATTACCTTGAGAAAAATCTTATTGCTGGGTCCATGACTGGTCTGGCAGGGTCCAGTATCAGCAAACGGTAATAGTAATATCCAGGCAAAGAAAAAAAGAGTAATCCGTAAACAGGCAAATGTCAGGACAGGCAGCAAAACAATCATAAAAATCAGGTAAACAGTCCAAGATAAAAAAACATGACTCAGCAACATGAGTCTGTGTGAGCATCTTAAATAGTCCTCCTGATATGAAACAGGTGTCAACTGATCATGAGTTCCTGGGGCAGAAGGAACCTAGGAAATTGAATCTGGGGTGAATGGTAACGGTAAGAGATGGAGTGCCCTCTAGCAGAGCTCATGGGCGCTCCAGCTGGCCATCGTAAAATAATCCTAGCGATTCACATACTTTTGCCATTTACAGATATGTAATATTGGATAATTATCCTGAATAAATAAATGACAAATAAAATATTTTTGTCCCATTTGTTTGATTGGGTTCTCTTTGCCTACTTTCAGCACTTGTGCAAAAGTATGTTTTGGGCCATATCTATGCAGAAATATAGAAAATTCTAAAGGGTTCAGAAACTTTCAAGCAGCAAGTAAGTCAGGCATCGGACCAAAAAATAATTTGCCACTAGATGGCGGGCCAGAACATAGTCAAAGGATCATTTAAGAAATTAATTGATGAAAAATACAACTACAATTGCCTGTGACAGACTGTTA